CTACATTGACTAAATATATTTTCTTACAAACACCCTCCCCAATATCCACTTCTGGCCCTGGATGACTCATCCTTCCTGGGGCAAAATAACAACAGAGGCAAGTTAACACAAGAAGTCTTCACTCTGGATCATGGTTTCAGGGGGGTACCATCCACCGTGGGTGTCATCCATCATCATGGGTACCACCCATCGTGAGTACGGATTTCTTGGGTACCATCCTTTGTAAGTATCACCCATTGTGGCAAAGAAAGCATAGAGGAAGGGATGGCAAGGAGGTGTCTATGGTGACAGGATCATGCACTTGGAACTCCTCTCATCTCTGAAAATCAGGATCAGGAAACAGAAAGCAGGGAATGCTGGCCCTCATAGTCTTGGGCATTCAAAGCCTTGGTCCCCAGTGAGTGGTGCTGTTTGGGGAAGGTTAGGAGGTAAGGCCTGGCTGAAGGAAGTTTGTTCCTGGGGCCGGCTTTGAGAGTAAGAAGCCTCATTTTCCTGCACCATGTTCTCTCTGCTTAGTGCTTACAGTCCTGGAGCTGGGTTCCCAGCATTCTCCTCCAGTCACCATGTCTCTGTTACTGCAATGGCCTCCCTTCCAAGATGGACTCTTACCCTCCAGAACCATAAGCTCAAATAAACCCTTTCTTCTATAAACTGCCTTGGTCGTGGCGTTTTATCACAGCAACAGAAAAGTAATTAGTGTGCTTGATTTGTCTGGTTTTCTCAGTTCCCAGCCTATGAGATGGGGTCCCCCACATTCAGAGTGGGTCTTCCCACCTCAATAAATTCCCTGTGGCAATGCCCTCACAGATATGCCCCACTGTGTCTTCTACATAACTTGAAATCCAGTCAAGTTGACTCTGAAGGTGAACCATCACATCATTTTTCTCAAAAACAACAGTACAAAGGGACTTTTCATTTGTTGTGTATGGTAGGGATATGCCATACTGTCATTGAGCTAACAAGTATTAACTTGGCTTGCCACTCTTTAGGAGCAACAACGGCTCCTTTTGAAAGTCTTTGGCTCAGGGTTGTAACTTCAAATGCTTTGTGAGATTATAAAGGTAAAGTGAAAAAGAGAATGTTAAGTCGGATCCCACAGAGTACCCCATCTAAAGATGTTTACGTTAGGACATAAGTGGGGCTCAGTGCTGGATCCACTGGATACCTCATCTAAAGACACTTATGAGGGTGGAGGTGGGGCTCAGTAGTAGGGCACTTGCCTATAATGTATGAGCTCTGAGTTCAATTCCCACTACTAGAAAAAAAAATTCTATGTGATTCAAATTTATTGCCTAGATTTACCTCCTGAGTAACTAACAGCCTCGCTTGCCATTTAAATTACATACACCCCTAGATTGTGAGGCTTCTAAAACTCAATTTTCTTTCAGTCACTTGAGTAGGATAAAAATGCTTGTTGGAGAGCAAATTTTCCCACCCTCCTTTTCCAGAAACCTCCACAGGACACTAATGGGTCCACTGTGACATATCCAAGGAACCCAGGTGCTACTTGAAAAGACGCTTATCACTGCTGGCAGACTGCTATGCTGAGACTTGTCTCACGGTAAATGAGGCAGGCTCCTGTTACCTCCCCTGTATCACAGAACAAAGAAGCCAACTTCTCAGAAACAGAAGGCCCGCACAGCTATCATTGCACAGATGGAAAAACTCAAGGGCCCTCCACCCTTGACAGTCTCCCTTTAACTATGAGGCCCTGATTCTCTTCACAGACTGAAAAAGGAAATCCAATTCTATTCGAGAAAACTGCAGGTCATTTTTCTCCTTAGAGAAAATGGACCGCACAAATTATACACCAAAACCTAATATCTCCACCCCGGTTGTTGAAAAACAATAGAGCCCCCATTAGCAGCCCTCTGCCCACAGAACACTCTCCAAGAATCTAACTGCAGGATTGGGGCGGAAGCAGAGCCCTGGTCCCCACTGAAGGCACATCAAAATTGTAATAAAAGCCCGCTTTCTGAAACGAAACTAAGCAACTGTTATTTCACACCCACATACTGCTGGAGCTCATTCAAACACCCTCTACTGACTTTGTTTCAAATGAAAATGTTCAGCTTCCTGGGCGGTGGGAGAGGGCTGATTCACGCTGCTCCCTGTACGTCAGAAGTATGGGTACATATGCAAACCCGAAGAGGCTGGACGTGACTGCTGAGTTCGAAGATTGTCACAATCGAAAGAGCTGGCGCTTACCCAACACCTGTCATCTGTCCTCATCTCCCAGTGCTCAAAGATTAGAGCTCCATATTGCAAGAGAACTCCATATTCAGAGTTTGTTCTACACAGCTTGGTAAAAAGGGGGATACAGGAAGAGGGGGTGAATTACAGGAGGACTGTGCCTTCTCTTGGTGTCACAGGGGACCCAACCTACCCTTCAAGGAGTCTGAAAACAATAAGGGCTCTCAAGGCGATTGGGTAGACCAGAGGGGGACTTCCCCATCTTCACACTGACAGCTACAGAATTAGAAAACTAAGAGGAGACAAGAAGTAAGCCCACACTTGCCATATGGTTTCTCATAAGAGGAAACAGTCCCTCCCCTACACACACACACACACACACACACACACACACACACACACACACACACACACACCGAGTGTTCCAAAGGATCTGTAACTCAGCAGCCAAGACAGCAGCACATTGCTGGGTTCTGCAGCTCGGTGACTCAGAAGTCACTTTGCTTGCCAGCATATTTAAATGTCAAGTGACATCGCTCTGAAAAGACATTTCTCCTGGAAGCCTGGTCCTAAGTTAAATGTCTTCCTGAACAAGCAAGGCCTAGATGTTAAAGAGCGGCTTCCTCGTAGATGGGCTGCCAACCTCTAAGGGGTACCACACACACCCGAGTACATAAGAAGCCCAAGTCACGGAAACCACATCTAATCCTCTGTAAACAAATCCCCCAAGAACTTCGCCCACGGGAATCACAAATGCCTACTTAAGAAGGAAAATAACAACAAAAAACCAGCAACACACAGGAAACAGAAAGTAAAGAAAGGGACGTCAGGGATGTTTTGATGAGGGCATGCTATGCAAAGTTCCGAGATTAGGAGCGCTGATGAGATGCTCAGAGTCTGTAATGTACAGAAATAGATAGGTTCCAAGATCGTCACAATCAAAAAAAGCAGTGTTCATCCACCCCCTTGCCATCCATTCTCATCTCTCCGTGCTCAAAGATTAGAAGTCCTGATGTGCAAGAGGACTTCACATTTAGTGTTTGTTCTATACAGCTTGGTAAAGGGCGACGCAGGAAGAGGGAGCGAATTACAGGAGAACTATGTCTTCTCTCTGTGTTTCTGTCTGTCTCTCATCTCTCTCTCTCTCTCTCTCTCTCTCTCTCTCTCTCTCTCTCTCTCTCTCTCTCTTCTTTCCTTTAAAAGTAGCATAAGCTCTGATTAAGGTGGCAATATAATTGCTGAATGTTTACACCTCTCGCTCCTGCAAAAATAGCTTGGTGGCAAGAATCACTGTGCAACCCAGTGAGTATTCCGTGCAGGCTCTCACCACCCAGAAAGCCACCCACAGAGTGGAATGCACTCCCCTTTTACCAAGAATCTTGTGAAACTGTTGATCAGTATTCTCAAGCCATTAAATTAACATAAAACATGGAAGTTCAGCAGGTAGCTTCCAAACTCTTTTTCAGTTGATCGATGGTACATTGACCTTGAATTATACCATTTCTTGTTATGCTCAAAAGGAACAAGGTTTATCCCCAGAGGCATGTAAGATGGTGAACTCCATTCCCAGAGGTCAGAAAACAGATTAAATAACTGGCCTGTCCAGTTTTGAGGAATAGTTTAACTCAGTTGTGAAAGGCTAGTGGAATGAAATAAATCCAGAATCCTGTCTAGGAAGCTGGTGAGATGAGATATACATTCTTAACACAAGTAGATGACTGTAGAGAAGGTAATCTAAGGAAAACGTTTCCACAGGAGGCTAATAACTTACTAGTTTTACAATAGTGATAAGCTTTACTTCTTACATAGCTTAACCAAAGACATTTATTTATAATCACCCATGAGAAACTCAAGACATAACAGTATTCATCTTTCTCATGTTAGTGTCTCTGGAGTTTACTAGGGTCACTGTGGAGGATGAAATCCCTCCAAATTGAGAAAACTTTGTATAGACAAAACATTCAATCTGAGATGGATTCTCAAGTCTCCAAATGAACCAAGCAACTCAAACTCCCAGAAGGCTTTGCTGTTACCACTGGGGACTACAGGGAGATCAGCATGGAATTGGAGATTCTCAATGAACCTTGACCTGAACGGTCATGGATAGAATGAGCCTTCACCTGAAGGTTTGATGTAGGAAAGGGCAGAAGACTGACAAGATGCAGGACAGGGCCACACAGAACAGGACCCACACAGAACAGGACCCACACAGAACAGGACCCACACAGAACAGGACCCGGGATACGGCAAATAAATGCAAATAAGCTGTGATAGTTCATAGTTGAGGAACAGCTAAGGCTGAAGACTCTGGACAACTTATAGTAAATAAAGGCTGCTACATTGTGTTTATAACATGCTAGATACCATGCTAACATTTTCCTTTCATTTTCTTTCTAATTTAATTGTAATGACTGAATGCCAGCGTTCAGTACACTCGCCCCCAGTTGACCTCACGCTATCTCATAGTTTTAATGCCACTTGCATGCAATGACCCCAGATCACTGCTTCAGCCTGGACACTGCCTCCAAGCCCCAGATTCAGCATGCCTGACTGTGTATTTGACATTTCCAGCTGACTATCTAAAGGATCTGTGATAGTTACCTGGAGTCAGAACTTCCTTTCTATAACCCACCAAAGGCAAACAGAATCCACTTGCTTCTCTATGGACCTTCCAAACACACCCATTTCCTCCCTCCACATCTACCACCATTTTCAGACTGGATCTCTGCTTCAACCTCCTACAGGAGATAAAGGTGAACTCCCCCCACACACCCCTGAGCGACCCTCTGAGTCTATGCATTCCAAACCTTGACATTGTCAAGTAGGCTCCAGTTACCAATGACTGTGGAGACAAAAGCGTAGGACTCCTGGAACGGCAGGGACAACAGGTGTGGAGAACGGCTCTGAAAGGGGGAAGAGTATCAAAGACAGAGTGTTTGAGGACATCCACAGAGGGACAAAGGACGCCAGGCTCCAAACGGCCCCTTTGTTCTCGTTCTGATCTTCCTGCGCAGGTTCAAGGCCTGAATCAAATTGAAGGCCTTTGCTGAGGCCCCCAACCACTTTGAATTCCGTTTGTGCTCGGAGCATTTGACCCAGCATCCAGTGTAAGCCCTTGGCAAGACTTTTGAATGCTTAACACAGCATCATGGGAACAACGGCATGGGCAGCGTGAGAAGGAAGTGGATCTTTTAGAGTAACTAGCTAAGTCTTTACATAGGAGGCATTTCAGAGACAGAAACCGGAGCTGTGTTTATCCCAGAAGATGACAGGGTAGCCCATGAAGTCACTACAGTCGTGTGGGGAGACTGGGGGCAAGGCAAGTAGAGGAAGTGGCGGAGGGAAGCACCGGAAGAATGGCGGAGGGTCTTAGAATTGGAGAGGGGGCAGCAGCGATGGGTATAAGGATTTGGCAAGCTCAGACACTCAGTTCCTAATCTTTTCCCTCTTAAGTACCATGTAAATGATGAGCTCCCCAAAGAAGGCGGGAAGCCCAGGCTTTAACAACCAGAGGTTAAAATTGACCTACTCAATGAAGTGTGAGGCAAGAAGCTAATGAGGCAAGGAAGAGCCTAGCCAGCGATGTAAGACAAACCTAGGTCTGGTCCTGGAGGATGCAATTATTTTCTCACTAAGTGGTGCTGGGGCCTTGTCTTCTCACCCTGTGCCCGTCCGGACGCGGGACTGGTGGGACCATCACGTGGACCTAGTGCAAGAGCCATTCGCAATGTCTACCTATCCGGCCTTGTCCAGGCCTGAGTGGGGAAAACACGACGGCCACCATGCCTCTTTTGCTTTCCCTTCCTGCCGTTCAGCGCCCCCTCCCTCACTGAAATGGTTACGGTTGCTCGGTGCTCTGTTCCTAGAAGGAGGCCTGCCACCGCGGGCGCTCAGCAAACAGTGGTTGAGTGTGAATGAACTCTGCTCAATTCCACTTCAGTCTGTAGGGGCATTGAAGAGACTTAGAGAAAGTTCCAGGGAGAGCACAGTTAGAAGGAGGTGGAAGAGTCTGGAGGTCCCAATGCGGAGGTCCGCCAGCCTGAGCAGAAGGCTCCCCAGCGCCATCTGGGTGCCGTCCCAACACTCAAGTCCAGGTCTGCACAATTTGCAACTGACCTTCCTGCGGGGAAGCTCGCGTGGGGTGCAACAGCTCGGCTCCAGCGTCGTGCTCCCGCCACCCCGGGGCAATGCACGGCGCCCGCTGCGCACGTAGGTCACCTGCCTCCTCCTGGCGCCGCGCGGAGGGCCGGGTGCCGGCAGCAGGTGCGGCCGGGGCGGCCCCGGGGGATCACTGCGGCCCGGGGATCCGGAGCCCGCGCGGTGCAACTCCATGCAGAGCCGCAGGCCCAGCAGCAGCGCAGCGCCGAGCAGCCACCGGGGCAGGGCTCCGCAGCCGCGCCCGGGAAGCCTGGCCGTGGCCATGGCGGGAACCCCGGCCTCAGGCTGCGCTCTGGGTCCCCACCCTCAGCTCCAGGCCGCCTGCAGAGAAGCGTCCCCACTGGCCCCGGGCTGCCAACTGTGGCAACTCCCTAGCGGGCCGGGTGTCGGCCCGCCTTCCTCTCTGCGACAGAGGAGGCCCGGGCGTAACCTTATCCTGCCCAGCAGGAAGAGCGATGGGCCGTGGGCTAGACGCCTGCAGCCCAGGCCCCCACTGGCCGGCTGAATGTCACCAGGTATGACAGGCCTGTAAAACCTCATGCAGGGGACAGCCACAGAGCCAGCAACAGCACATTCCTGGGGTCTTGGGCTCTGATTTCATTTGCCGATGTTACTATTAGACACGGTGGAGGAGGAAAGGTGAGCTGCCAATTTTGCACCAAAGAAAAAGTTCTGTCAAGCAGCTCTGTGCCATTAAGCATGATATAAAAATAAAGCATACTTATGCTCGAGTTTACAACTTCTCTCCCTCAAGGAAGGAGGGAAAGAGAGAGAATAGCACTCCATGCAGAAGAATCAAATTAGAGTTATTCGGTTTCTAAATTCTGCCTGAAGCCAATCCGTGCTTTCTCTCGGTGTTATGAAACGTGTGGGGGAGAAGGAAAGGGAAAAAGCCAGCTAAGACATCTGACAGCAGGGAGAGAGGGAACAGAAGTTACCATGGCATGATGTAAATCAAATTAATTTAGCTCCAAACACACACCTCCCCGCTGCCTTGCAGAAATGCAGAGGGACAAATTTATCTCTGGGCAAAAGGCTCCCAGCTGGTATTGCCGTCATCACCTTGACCTTAATTAATAAAACCTAAATGCTCACAGTTGAAGGCCAGGTTTGATGTTCCACTTTCAAGTGTTAGAATTCTTTCCCTCCACTTGTCTGGGGCGAGTTTGATTTCTAGATTTACATTCAGGTTCTTTTGGATCCTTTGTTTTTTAAACTATGGCCAGGTACACACAACACACACACACACACACACACACACGCACACACACACACACACACACACACACACACACACACACACCCATCGCACGCACGCACGCACGCACGCACAGGTATATATTTCCCATGCTTCTCTGCAGGCTATCTCTGCTGTCGGTTCTCTCCCCCAGCCTGCAACATGGACAACAGAGACCTAGTATGGAGCCTGGCCCCCTCCCCATTTGAATTTTGAGATTTTCCATAGGGAGCTCTGCTCTCTGAAATGCCTGTCCATTTTTGGCTGAAGGCCCAATTTATTCCTTGCCACAGAGCACTTAACCTGTTTTCCAATAGTCACAAAACTTCTCAACCCAATCTAGACCATTCCCTGGCCACCACCAGTCCCCCGGCTCCTGAAGGTTCTATTATGCATGAAAATATACACACATGATTGGATTATAAATAGATGATAGATATAGATGATTGATACATAGATAGATAGATAGATAGATAGATAGATAGATAGATAGATAGATAGGTGGATAGGTAGATAGATGGATAGATAGATAGATAAAGATGATAGATGGATATAGAAATTATAGAGATGATAGATAGATAGATAGATAGATAGATAGATAGATAGATAGATAGGTAGATAGATAGATAGATAGATAGATAGATAGATAGATAGATAGATAGACAGACAGACAGACAAGTAGGCACACAAACAGACATATATCTATTTGCCCACCTCCAGGGAAATTGCAGATAAAGTCTGTATTAAGGAATATAAACAAATACTTCTTTGTTCACACAAACTGTAGGAGACAGCCTCACATCCTGTAATTATTTACGTGAACTGTGTTTGAATCACAACCCTCCCATTGAGCGATAGGAGACATTAAACAGAGAACTTGGCTTTTCTGAGCTGCTGCTTCCTGTGGGGAGACAGACTGACATTTAGGGTTACAAATATCACATAACTATTATGTATTTCATACCTGAGTAATACTTGGCCCTCAGAAGCTAATTTTTTTTTTTATCATTTACCAATGAAGAAAACTCTGGGTATTGTTACAAAAAAGTATGCATTTTTAAATATGGGCAAATACATGAAAAAACAAGGTGATCTATAAACATCTTACCAATGACTTAGGATTTATAAATATCTTCTCTTGACTTAGGAACTCCCAACTAATATGATAAAAATTCTGTGTGTATGAAAACATCATATGACACCCATTGTTATGTATAATAAGCATATACTATGTATTATGGTTGGTTTTAAGGTCAATCCGCCACAGATTAGAATCACTTCGGTAGGGGGCCTCACATGAAGAACTCTGTTTGTCTCGATTGATGAGGAACGGCCCACTCAGACTGTGGGTGACACCTTTGGGAAGCGGCCCACAATAAATGACGGTGTTTCAAAGGGGGTTAGTTCTCACCTTTTGCTCCCTCGACCTTGTTCTTGTCCTCCAAGATGATTTACCTGTCTGGTCACTGCTCCTGGCGTGGAGGGGATGATTTCTCCGCCATAGCAGAACCAGCATTTCCAGGCTTTCATCATGGAATAGGGACCAGTACTCTCCAGAACTTTGCAGACCTCCAACACCAGTGAGGTGCTGCCTTGTGGACTGGATAACTACAGTTATCACTCCTGGTGAGAGACTACTATTCTGGGACGATTTCAACTGTTAAGGCACCCAGTCTCAAGAACCGAGTACCGGGCTCTCAGCATCTCAGATGTGACTTGACTATCTCTATTCTAAAGCTTGCTTGATAATATATTCATCCACTTGGTCTATTCCCCCAGAGAACCCGACTAAAACACCAGCAGTCTCAAGAACACGTAAGACTCGTGTTCCCAGGGCTGGGGCTGTAGCTCAGTGGAAGAGCACCTGCCTAGCATGTACAAGGCCCTGAGCTCCATCCCCAGACTCAAGATGCTGCACGTGCTCTTTAATGAGTTATGTACTTAGAAAGCATTATTTAGATCAATGTGTATACTGTTTGCTAACCCTGCTTCAGCAATGTCTGATGTAGACTTTGCTAGAAGTTGGTTAGTTTAGTTTAGTTTAGTTTAGTTTAGTTTAGTTTAGTTTAGTTTAGTGGGTTTTTTTAGTGCCACTAAGTACAGAAGCAATCTTCTCAAGATCATGGTACCACTAATGCATGCCCTCTGAGAGTTTCTCTACAGAGAGGCAGCAGAAAGACTTCCCTATATTACTAGAATGGGGGTATTTGATAAGACTCTGGACCGGGAGGAGCGCACTGCACAGGCATGGATACATGCAGAACAGTGTAGCCCTTGAAGAACATGGGCAAGATGATCTCATATTTTCCCTTATTTCATTTTATGCTTCTCTAATTAAATGTTTCCATTATTGAGAGGGGAACCCTCCAAATTATTTGCAATGTTTAAATACCCTTTTCCTATATGTTTTGCAACCATGTTTACGTGTTAATTACTAATCAGAAGACATATTGGTATGTATGTAACATCATTAATTTTCTAGGCAGAAATCTCCCACTTTTAACATCCACACAATGTCTCCCTGTGTTGTGGATGATAACGAACTGGCTCGATGGTAAGTTGGAGACACCACTGTCACAGCTGACAAGGGGTCTTTCACTCATGACCTTTGCTTTTCTCAGAGCTGACCTTGTCCAGGTTGTTCCTGGCTATGTCTCAAATATGTAGATGATCATTAGCCATTGCGTCATAGGTTTGTTAATTAAATATGGGGGTCAGGAAAACACAACAGCGACTTTTTTCAGGTCACAAATTACATTCTCCATGAGGTTTTAGCCAATAAAATGAATGAGAAAGAGTTTTTATTGCTGATCTCCAACACTATATATTTTAATTCATAGATGTATTATACATACACACTATATATATACATATACATATATGTATATATGCCAGGATGCTACTAAACACTCTCCACTGGAATAGACAACATTCCACAGTAAAAAAAAAAAGATGTCAGGAGAGCTGACTATGACAAACCATGCTGTCATAATAGATGCTGATATCAAAATTTTAAACTGACATGCCAAGGAGAAAAGAGAGACCAACAGAAATGATCCTCGCCTTTGTAGAGTGGTTATGCCTCCTCTGCCATATAAAGCACCCACGCTTAACCAAAGCAATCAGATTTTCAAGAGGAATATAGCTGGAGTGTTGGCATCAACATCTTCCTCCAACTGCTATCATCTTTTCTCCACATGTACACTGTGAGAAATACATCCAAGCCAAAGAAGATGCAAGCAGTCATTTTTTATTCAGAGGTAAGCTTCCTGACAGACTCTTCCCTGTTTACCAAAGGGAAACCATGCACATCCTACTGTGATCTACTTTTGTAACATTATATTTATATTATTACATACTCAAATTATTATATATACCAAAAGAAGACAAAATCACCACCTTGTAAATAATACATATGAGATTTGCTTTAAAATAATCCTGTGGAGAGAGGTGGGGGATGAGTTGGGGTAAAGCTGTAAGTTGATGATGATTATAGCTGGATAATAAATTCACAGTTCTTTACTACTGAGCATGTTTAAAATTATGTGCAACAAATATGTTTTAAATTATGAGCTATTCAACATCCTTAGCCATCAGGGAAATGCAAATCAAAATAACTCTGAGATCTTACACCTGTCAGAAAGGCTAAGATCAAAAACACTGATGACAGCTTGTGTTGGAGAGGATGTGGAGCAAGGGGAACACTCCTCCTTTG